CAAACTTATGGGCTTGTAACAACCCAGACTCTCTCCAGCTCTGGAGGCAGGTGTGGGAATCAGCCTCGCAGGGGCTCAAGGGCAAAGTACACCCCCGGGTGTCTCCCAGCCCCTGGAAGTGACCCGCATGGGTTCTCAACCTCAGGAGTCCCTCCTCCAGCTTCCCTACGGGAGTGAGGGTGAGCCTAGACTGACCCACCAGCCTCCTTTCTATGAGGATGCCTGGGAGTCCGTTACACCCACCTGGGTCCTCCAGGCGCCTCTTCCCCACACAAGGGCTCAACCCAATCACAGATGCAAAGATTGTGGGGCCACGTGAGGTCACCTAGTCACAGGTTCTGGGGGCTGGGATACAGGTGTTTGGGGGCTATGCTTCTGCTCAATGCTCCTCCAACCCTCCCTTCCCCCTTAATTTTGTCAAGAAGCTGGGTGTGTTGCCCTGGTACGCCCACATACCATGACTGTGGGTGGCAAACTCCTGATGCCCCCTGCAGAGTTCTCTGTCCCCAGAACCCCCTGCAAACTGGCAGCACCGCTGCTCCTGTACTCTCTGCACAGCGGGCTCTGAAATCTGGTTTCTCTGTTAGTGATGTGAGTTCTTGTTGGCTCCAGTGTCCAGACTTCAGCTCATGGGGGCGAGGGCTATTGCACTTTACACCGGCCAGTCGGAATACATTCATAAAGGCTGCTTACCAACGCAGGGGCACAGCAGGGCACTCACTGCCAGACCCCTTCCTCAGAGCAGTTCGCATGACGACCCAGCCCCTCATCCTCTGATGGTGAGCCCCGATCCACTCATTTTACAAAAGACTTCTGTGAACGGCTTCAACCCTATGGACATCGCCCTTTCACAGCTCCCGACTGCCACACCCTTGGCCAGGGGCGTTCTGCTGGCATAATGCCAGGGCCTCCCTTTGACGGCCCTTGGCTACCTGGAAGAATGAAATAGCCCAGCGTGGTCTGGAAGCCCTGGAGCCCGCCATTAGTCCAAGAAACCCCACATTGCAATTTTTTTTTTTAAACAGGAAGTGGTATTTCACGATCACAGACTTGTGTTAGGTTACAGAGGCACATGCTCTTTCTATACCTTTTCAGCAGGTGGGGCCAGCAAGCATAAAGCATTTTTTTAAATGAAACTCCCCCGGAGCACATACCTTGAACTCTACGAAACCCTTACGCGCACTGTCCCTTCGGGGTTGGCGGGGGTGCTGCTGTTTGACTGGCAGTCATATCTTCTCTCAGTAGAGGGAGGGAAGAAACAAGGTTCCTGAGAACGAGCTCTATTTAAATGAACACTATGCAGCTTGTGTTCCTGAGTCTTGGGGACAAGCAGGCCGGGACAACCTCATGGTGTTCGCTCAGCACCCTGCTGCGCCCCGCCAGCGATCCAGGCTCCCCACAACTCCCTGACTGTCCCCCCACAACTCCAGCCTCCTGTCCCTTGCTGGGCCCTAGGGTGACAAGAACCTTCCGGAGGCTCCCACAGGCCTCCCAGCTGCTGCAGCTCAGGGGACCCTCCAGCTCTCCATCTGGGACTTTGGGGAGCCTGTCGCCCGGGGCAACCGGGGCTCCTCTCTCACCATCTCTTGCTGTTCCCTGTAGCCTTATTACCTCACAGGGATTCCCTGAGCCAGAGCATCTCTAACCCATTTAATGCCAGGAACTGCAAGGGCACCCCCAAATCACCCACTCCCTTCAGAGAGGTTTATCCAGACCTTGCTCAGACAATGAGCCCCTGGTGACTAGCTTCAAGTTCATCCCCACGTCAACGGGGCCACCTACCTTGTCCCTGTACAGAATGTTCACAAAACATGCTGTGTTTTCTTAAGGGAAGAAACAAAGATGTCTTTAAGTAGCCCTGGTTCAGGAAGAACCAGAACCAGCACCGACCCCAAACCCACCCACATGCCATCTGCGTTTCTTGTGAGGACTTCAGAGGCACCGCCCCAGTCCCACAGCCTTCTCCGGGGCAGCCTGGTCCTGCCAGGAAGCACGGGGGCTTTCAAAGACCACTCGGCCCAACCCGAGCTTCTGGCTCAGCAGGTCTGGGGTGGGGTCTGGGAACCTGCATTTATTTCTAGGGAGTTCCCTGGTGTTGCTGATGCTGCTGGTCACTTTAGGAACCATTGCCCTTGTGAGCAATGGATGTTCAAACAGGACTGGGCTGGGTCTGTCTGCTCACTCCCCAGTGCAAGGTGTGGTGGTTCTGACGTGAATTTCCTGTGCCTGAGAGCACAACCTTACGGGTACCTTAAAAATCTATCAACCCTCAGGAGCCCAAGAAGCCTCTGAAGTCCTCACAAATAATGCATCTGATGTCTGGAATCTACTCTGAAATAAAGTGAAAAACAACCACCTCCCCCTCCTGCCTAAAGATGAGAATAGCGACCATTAGCTGTGTTGGACCATTTTACGCAGTTTGAAAGTGTTCAGAGTGAACCATGTCGATTTCGTGGAGGAATAAAGGCCTGACTGCTCCAGCTAGTAGCTGCACAGCCTTGAGGTAACTCTCCTCCCCTCACCCCCAGAGCCTGGGTGCTCTCTGCTATCCACGTCGATAGTAATGGCATCTTTCCAAGCCGGGTACTGAGGAGACAGCAGGTGTTAGACACGTAGCACTTACCTCGTAAAGTCACAATGGCTTTGTAAAGTAATGGCTTTGTAAAGACAATGCAAAGTCACAATGACCCTGGCTCACTCTGCCCTGACCCAGCCTGGCAGGGCCGTGCCTCTCGGGCAGGGGCTCGCCCCTTGCAAGGGTCCCACTCATGGGAGTCCTGGGTGGCGCGTATACTGGGGATCCCAACTCTGCTCAGGGGCACAGGGCACCAAATGAGATTAAAAGCCCCGGGCTGGCCTTCAGCGGCTTCCCACTGAAGGGCAGGTTCAAAGAGGTGAGCGGCTGGCACCTGTTTAAATTCCTACCCACGCCTCCCCACTTTTGTTCTTCCCCAGCTCCGGCACCCATTTGTCCAGCCAGGTGGCAGCCTGCAGTTCCGTGACTTCTGGCCCTCACTGCCCACAGGCTCCCTCCACCTGGTGCCTCTCAAGTCCCATCCCCAGCCTAGTGTGGCTCACTTCTCCCCCCAGAGTGGGCTGAACTGTGTCTTCCCAGAGCCAGAGAGCCTATACTGATATGCAAAGGGCAGGTGGCCATGGCCAAGTATTTTCCAGACCTTTGGCCCCTTCACCCCCAGGGTGTGCATCTGCCTCTTATTTCTGGGGAGACCTGGACAGGCTCCTCCAAGCACCCCGCTGTCTGGTGGAACGCACGACAGGAATTACTCCTGTTCCACGGCAGCAGACACCGAGACTCAGAGAAGGTCTCAGTTCAGGGGTGCAGAGCTCTGAGGGTGCCTAGTGCTCTCTCCTGCCCTCGCCAGCAGAACCTCTGCTCAGACCTAGCTCAGGTGAGACACACCATCACCTGCTTTCCAAGCCCATCAGGGACAGGGAAGGGCTGGACTGGCTCCCAGCGAGATGCCTTTCTGGGGTCAAAGCTGAGACATACAGCCACCTCAGACAGGGCTGTACCTGGCCCCCACCCCCATCCCCAGCCCTCAGGGTGACCCCTTCAGTCAGGGATGGTGCATTGTTGGGTGATGGCCCTGGCATTCCCGGCCACACAGCCACACAGGCTGACACATGACAGCCACACTGTATGTGTAGTTGCAAAGAAAGCCAGGCTGATGTGATGCTTTCATTTCTACTTCCAACTTACTAAAAACCTACCTAGACTCAGCTGACACAGGCTTTGACTGGGGGTCGTGGTGGAGCCACATCAGAAGGAAAACAGAGGAATTAGGTGGGTTGAGGACATAGATAGATCGACTCCGCCCAGGCCCTTCCCCCTTGGAGTCTTCAGTCTCCCCAGCTTTCCACGGGCAGGGCGCCCTGAGTCCCCGGAGCACAGTGACGTTAGCCTCTCCCCGAACCTGGCTCCTCTGCGGGGCCTGAAGTTTCCACCTGCGCAGTCAATGCCTCCTGTGTGTGCTCGGTCCCACTCGGGGGCCAAGGCGTGCCCCACCTCAGCAACGTGGAAGGTGAGGAGAACACCCCTAGAGAGGCCAAGAATCTAAGTAGACCTGGCAAACCTCTCTTGGCAGGATGGAGGCATGAATCTGTGAGTGAACAGTGAGAGCGAGTGGGAAAGTTAATTGATTACCAGGAGCCTAAGGGAAAATGCCCCACGGGAATGTACTGAGGGATGAAGTCACACAAGTTAGAGGCTCATTATGTAGGCTCCAGCCAGAGGATCTCAACGGGGGTGGGGGTGGGGAGGTGGGGGGGTAAGGAGGGGGTCGCAGCTGTGGGTCCAGGGGTCCTATAGTGAGGTCTGGAGACTGGGGAGCAGGTGCTCATGGCACCTAGTGGGTGCTGCTCAACATCCTAACGTACACAGGATGCCCCCTGGCCCAAACACACACGCTAAGAATGGCCTGGCCCAAAACACCATCAATGAGGCCCCTGGGTGAAAACCACACAGAGGTGGTACCCCCTCACCAGCCACGTATTTCCCAGACCATTCAGACAGTAAGCACAGTGGACTCTTATCACTGCCTCCATGAAGCCCCCCCTCAATGCCCCCCACCCCATCCTCCATCCAGGGGGAGTCTCTTGCTTGTCTGATTCTCCAGTGGGCTGTGGCTCCCCAAGGGCCAAGGCAGTTCTCACCCTTCTCTGGGCTTCCACTACCCCACCCTGCTCTGGGATTTGCATCTATTCCCTAATTTATTCTCACCTGGATGGTCTTAAGTTCATAACAAACTTGTGTTCTCACCAACACTTTAGAAGTGTGTACCCCAAGCCTCGGGGGTGTTTGGTAACTTGCTGAGGATGACCAGCTGGGCCTAAGACAGAGTAGACGCTGAACCCCCAGACTTGGGCATCAGCAGCCCTGGTCCCAAGCCCGGTTCCACCATTTTCATGCTGTGTGGTTCCCCGTAGCTTTCTTAAAACCTCCCTGAGGCTGAATTTCCACAACTGCAAAGGAGGGTGTCCATATTCTCTTTATCAGGGCTTGTGAGGGTCATACATGGTGAGGCCAAGCAAGAAACAGGAATCAGAGAACCGTCCACGGGTTAAAATGGTGATGCAGGCGTGAGTGGGTTTCATTTCCATTCTGTGAGCGGTGAGTTTATTTTGAAGACATTCGGGGCAAACACCTGTCTCCCACAGTCGGGTCTAGAGAAAGCTGTGGATAACCAAGACACTGAACTCTGTCGCAGAAAGGAGTTTCCTCAGCTGGTGAAGGCGGCACCCTCTTCCAGGGGAGAGTTGGAAGTGGACTTCTGGGGCTCAGGAAGGCCTCGCTCCCGGCACGTCAGAACAGGGACCCGGTGCCCGTTAGTGGCTCCCACAAAGGCCCCTGTTGGGGGAGGGCAATGCTGGGGTTCAGACCCAGGTGTCCTGTCTCTAAGTACCTCTGAGGTCCTGCTCTGCTGAGCTGGGCATGTGAGGGTCAAATCATCTCTACCCAACTGTTTCCAAGGCTGAGCAGAAAAAGAAGGGGTGTTCTTTCAGAGTAGCTGGAAAGGAAGCAAAGGAATGAATGTGAGCCCAGCTGCTGTGAGGCAGAACATGGGGTCACAGAGCCGTCCCCCCAACCCTCCTCCTCTACTGGAAACAGCAGGGTAAATTCCTAACTGACTTCAAGTCTTCACCGGCATATGCTCCTATGTACCCTTCACCACGTCCATTTCATAGATGAGAAAACTGAGGCGTGAGAGGCAACGCGGTTTGCTGAGGCCCCGTGGCAGAGGCAGAGCAGCACTCTAGGCCGGGCCTGACTGGGCTGAGGGTCCACCCTCCACTGCGCTCGCGACCGCTCGCCTTCTGCTCTCTGGGCCAGAGCATCCCCGGGCAGCTTCTGGGTGGGTCCTCGGGGTCTGACCCTTGCCCAGGACTGCGCTGTCATCAGCAGGTAATAGACACGCTGGCGTCGAGCCCCAGGGCACTCCGGCTCCTGGAGGACGCCACCTGAATAACCGGCGTCTGAAACCTGAGCTGTGCCTGTCGGTGGCAGCCACCTGCTTTCGCGGGCTTCTGTTACGCGCGCCGAGACGTCCGTGGCACAGGGCAAGCGCGCATGCGCACCCAGGTTTGCGCGGTTGAGAATCAGAGTCCTTGGTGGCTCCTGCCCGTGGCCCTTGGCGTCTCCCTGCCCCTCACCTGAGGGACAGCCTCTGTCTGCCACAAGGCATGGGCCTTCTGGTTACCTTGTGCGGCCTCCCCGCTGCGTCTGTGGCTCCTAGAAGTCAAGATCTTTCCTGCCCTTCTGGCTGCGCCTGCTGGTCTCCCCGAGACAAGCCCATCTCACGTGGGCCCTAGTTCCGACGTCACCTCCTGCAGCTGCCTCGCCGGATCCCACCTGTAGCAGCTCTCTGCCCACCTGCTTTCCACGGCCCACCTGTCCTGTTCCTTCACAACAGCTGCCTCAGTTGGTCACTTTGTGTGGTTCGCTTGTTGACCTGCTGAGTCTCCAACTCAGATGTCCACCCCAGGGGTAGCGGCCGGGGGCATGGGAGGGTCAAGCGGGGATTCTTACTCACCGTTTCACCCCGGCTCTACCCCTGCTCACCCCAGCTGGCGGGAGACGCCACGGAACGAGTGCCTGGCACCTGCCTGTCAGAGACTTGGCGCTCACGGGCTGTGCCAGTGGAAGGGACAGACTCTGTGGGGCGTGGAGCACGTGTGCGCCTGCGTTCGAGGGCTCTGAGGCGGCCCAGAGATGGAAGGGATATCCACAACCTGTCCGGTGTTTCAGTGTGGACAGAGGGGTCTAGAAACTTTTCCCTTGTGCTCACACCGTCTCTGAGGAACGAGGTGGCCCAAACGCCCTGCTCCTCCTCTCCCACTGATGAGAGCCCCAAACCTACCCCCAGGTGCGCACATCACGCCCCCAGCTGACCTGGTGGTCCTCGCTTTACCGAGGCCACCGCTGCGGCCCTTTTCCGTGTCCTGCCACGTTCTTGGAGTCACCCTCTGCAAGAAAGATGGGCTCTGTCAGGCAGGTGTGCCGACAACCGCTCTAGGCTCCCCAGTGCAGACCTGGACTCTGGCCTCCTCACCCCCTCCCCAGAGCAGTCACCCCATGCCCACTGCACGCTGTACCTCGCAACCTGCCCACACTCCCCCAGCTCGGCAGGTGCCTCCTGCCTCAGGGGCTGCAGCTTGCTGTGTCTGGACCCCTCCCCGCCCCGTGTTCTCCAGAGTGGGCTTTAGATGGCCCTCCCTAGGGAAGGCTTCCTGACATGCCAATCGAGGTGGCCTGGAGGTGACCTCAAGCGGCCCTCACTAGTGTCACTAAATAGCTGCTTCTGCTTTATTGGTGTTGGGACTATCGGCTTGATGTTAGCTCAGGAGGGGAGGGGCTGGCCCGCCCCAGCACAGAGTGAAGACGTATGCTTCAGCAATACCAGCTGTTATTACGAGATAACATGAAGAATGGGTGAGGGGACCTGGATGGACCGGTGAATGAATGTGATTGAATAAGTCACAGGATGGGTGGAAGGGCAGCTGGAAGGGTGAGCGTGAACGAATGAATTCACAGGGTATTAGGTGGACAGATGGGTCAGCTGCTGACTGAGTGGAGGTCCGGCGGCAACAAGGGCGTGAGGCAGATCGAATGGAAGTAGGAAGTGCTTAAGGGGTCAGTTCCAGGTGCTAACGTTTAGCATTAATTCATATTTCCCTGAGTCCCTCCTTGGCTCATCTGCCTGGCCACCATCAGACAGCAGGGCTTCTGCCTCACTCTAGTTCCCATTTTGTCTCCCATGAGACACCCCTGAGCTGCTGCCCTCATCCCTATCTTAACGCCCCCTCTGGACCCCGAGCTGGGTCTGGTGCCAGGCCTTGCCCCTGCTGGGACCCTCCCAGTGGCAACTCCGGCCATGTCAGATGCCCCTGGAGGATGGAGGACCGCGCAGGCTGGAGGAGAGGCTTTCACTGCAGCAGCATCTCACACCCCTCCACCTGTCCCGACATGGCACAGCGTGGAAGCTCCTGGAAGGACGGTGTCACTGCCCTGCACGGCAGCGTCACGCTGCCGCTCTCCTGCCATTCCATGGGGTTTTCGGTCTCGTTGCCCTTCTAGTGCCCTCTGCAAAGGAAGGCTTCTTACCGGGGTTCTCTTTGAAAAATTTGTGCCGTAGGAACTGCCCATCTGGAAAACAAAGGAGAGAAATTAATAATACCGAGGAGTCATTTCATTTTTTCCTCTCAGCCTCACGAGTGTGCCGTGGAATTTTCCAGCGGCTACATGACGTGTGACGCTGCGGTTGATCAAATGCAGAAGCAGATGTAAGACTCCAGTTCTCTTGGCTCTCATGTCAGAATTTCAAAAAATGCGAAACAACAGCACTCTTCTTGCTTTTGCGTGTGTGTCAGGAAATGGAGCTACTTTGCAGGAAAATGTTTCCCGCTCACTACACACGTTCATCCTTGCTGTTTTCTATGCATATTTTTTTTAAAGATTTATTTATTTATTCATACAGAACTGGGGTACAGGCCAGAGGCTCAAGGATGGTGAGAGGCTTCACCAGAGACAGAGTGGGGAGCAGAACAGGCAGATCGACGAAGTACACTGCTGAGGGGAGCAGAGGGCGGGTCAGGAGAGGTCTGCCGCGCCATGTGGTCACCTCCGGGGCAGGCGGGAATCGAACTCATGCGGAAGTGGCTTTAGATTCTCAGTGCTGTGCTTTAACCCGCTGTGCCACCAGGGAGGGCCTCTATGAATATTTTTAATGCCGCTGCTTTAGTCTCTACCATGGTAAACACAGGAGCCACAGCCCCCAGGGGAGAGCGCTATGGTGTCCTCAACATGTTTTGAGTGTAAAGTGGTCCTGAGCCCGAAAAGCTGGAGAACCAGTGTCTTCACAGACGGCTGTCAGCATTTTCCAACTGCTGTTGGACAAATGTCATTCCACAATGTGTTCGTGATGGTCCTGGAAAGTTGAGGATTCTCAGGCAAGTCAGATTCTTTACCATTTTAAACAGACATACAGATGGGTATGAAATGTCCTGGTTGCTTGGCTCTGCTCTGAGAGCTTTACATGTAGGATTGAAATGAACCCTCAGAAGCCCCCCAAAGTGACTCAGGTTGGAAGCAACTGACCCCAAGGATGCCCCCCCAGTGGGAGGCGGAAGAGCAAGATGGAGCAGGAGATGCAGGGCAGGGGGGCCTGGGGGCTCTCGGCCAGCCTCAGGGACTGGCTTTCTGCAAGGGTGGGGGCCAGGGGAGAGCCAAGGGCAAGGCCGGAAGCCCACACTTACCTGCCTGCTGGCGCTGCCGGACACACTGTCCGTGGTTGGGGATGCCCTTGGCCACGTCACCAGGGCTCAGGATGTGACACTCGTAGCCTGTGGGGCAGAGGAGTGGCTCCGCCCCATCCTCCGTGGTGCTGCATGCCTCTGCTGGGGGAGGAATACAGCCAGGGCCTCAGACACAGCTCCTGCTGCACCCCCATGCTGTCCTCAGGAAACACACCTACCCAAAGGGGCTGCATCTCGTCTGCACCCCAAGTTCCTTGGGTCTCACTCATAGTGGAATGCTGTCCACACACATGGGTATGCACAGTCCAAAGTCACGTGGTCCCAATACCCCTCACGCACACAGGCATGCACAATACGGTCACCCACACACCCTGAAACACAGACTCACACCCAGCCCCCTGTGCCTGTCACACAGACACATTCACCCACACACGGATCCTGTGCACACAGACATATGGCCATTTGTGCCATACACAAATCCTGACACACATTTCACCAGCCCACAGGTGCTAACACACACACACTCACGTGCATGCACACAGATGCACAGAAATCCCAACACACAGCTACAGCGACACCCACACAGTGGCACACCCCATCCCTGCTGCACACCCCAACAGCCAGAGCAGGATCACAGAGGCTGGAGAGTCACAAGCACCGCTGCACACACCCAGTGTACACACTCACACCCCAGCAATTGTCCGGGCCCTTGGACCTGTCATTCCTCCCAGAAACTGCTCAATCCAGGAGGCCTCAGCATTAAGGTGCAGTGAAGCCCTTATTGAGATTTTAGAGATGCGAACCAGCCTCAAGCACCCGCCCTTTCATGTCTCCACCCAGGAAGGAGACCCATTCCCGGGACAACAGGTCTGTTCTGTTTTGGGAATGCGGAGGGCCTGTTTCTCCTCTTCTGTGTTAAGGCTGGGAGGAGCCAGAGGGCTGAGAATTTGACAGACAGCCTCCTAAGAGGCTAGGGCAGAGATGGGCCTGGGTATCAGTCATCTGTGAAGTGCAGAGAAGGGGGATCCTGGCTCAGAACAGGTTTGGGGAGTACCTTGAAGTGCCTCCTCGGGGCCATCCAGGAGCCAGCCGTTGCCACCCAGCCATCGAGGTTTCGGCTGCACCAGCCAGTCTAAAACTAAACCATCCAGAGTTAAATCAAGCCCTCTCAGGCTATCCCCAGGGGTGGGAAAGCCTGTATTTCACAACAAACACAGAAGTCCCTGCAAAAGCAATGGCTATGGTTCTCCAGCAGACATGTGTCCCTTCCTTCTGGTAATAGAACCTCTGAGTTACAGCTGGGTGCTGGGTGGCTAAGCTGGAGACGACATTTCCCAGCCTCCCTTGCAGCAAGGTGTGACCTCGTGACCTCATTCTGGCCAATGGGATAAAAGCAGGGGTGAGACTGCAGCTTCCAGTCCAGCCCTGGCATTCATGCCTGTTTGCTTTTGCCCCTCAATCCTCTTGCAGGTGGGAGCCACATGGACCAGGCAGAGCAATGAAATAGGGTAAAACTGGGTCCCTGATGACTGGTGCTACTGACCACCTGTCTCCTCGGCCTAGTGACCACATGCCTAAGAGGTTGGGCCCCTGGGTTTGTGGGTCTTTTTGGTGCATGTGTAATCTGTTTGCTAACCATACACCTTCAACAGGAAGCATTATCTAAGCAATGGGCAGGAGGGTCTTCAAACGAAAACAGAGGCCGAAAGTCCAAATGCCTCTTAGATAGCAAAGCTCAGAAAAGCTGGCCAGGTAGGAGAGCATTCCTGCCTGCATGTGCCACCTGGTGGTCAGCCCTGGCCAAACACACCTACTGGTCCCACAGCCTCTGAGTGCTTTAATAAAAAATCTACTTTTGCAATGTTGGCAATCAGTGTTTTCATTGTAAGCACTTTGGAGATCAAATGAAAGTGGTCTGGGTGCTTTAGTTTGATTCCACAACATGACAAAACAGAGGGTGGGGACTCCCTGGTGGTGCAACGGGTTAACACACTACATTATGAAGCCACCCAGACCGAAGCCACTGCAGCTCAAGGCAGCTGGCCCACATGGCGTGGCAGACCTCTTCTGACCTGCCCACTGCTCCCCTCAGCAGTGTATTTTATCATTCTGACTGTTCTGCTCCCTACTCTGTCTCTGGGTGAATCCTCTCACCCACCACACCTGTGGCCTGTACCCCAGTTCTGTAACCATAAATAAACAAATCTTAAAAGAGGGGGGATGTGCAGAGAGCACAGGTGGGCGCTAATGAAAATGCTGGCTGGTCTGGCTTTCACAGGGCACGAGGCCATGACGAGCTGGTGGCTCAGGCAGCGAGGGGAACAACAGAGCAAGGCAGTGGCTAGCAGCTCCCCAGCTCAAGGGTTCACATGACAGGGTTCGCAGCCACTGTTGCCATTCTTCTGGGTCTTCCCTTCTCTCCCCATCACCTTGAACTGTGTGTGAGAAAATGCTGCTCAAGCTGTTTTTTATCAAAGAGGAGCTGTACTAATATTGATTATTTCCATCCTTCTCAGCAGGAGAAAACATGTATATTTAACTACATTTTTTTGTAGCACTGAAACTTGCTCCAGGTCCCACCATCATCTTGCATCAACTTGCAGGCCCCTAGAGGCTTGGAAACCCAGGCTCTCCCTTGTCTGCTCCCTCACTTGAATTTCCTGACATGCCCTGCTGAAAAAACAAACAAACAAAAAAACTCCCTGCACCCAAGTCCTTGCCTCAGGTTCTCTGTGGAGAGATTCAAAGGAAGCTTGCGAAGAAGTGGAGCGGCACTCAGGACAGAGCCTTGTATAGCTCAAGTGACCTGCTCACCCCAGAGATCTGGGGGTGAGGAAGCGAGTTTGTGTGTGTCTGGAGGAAGAATGCTCTGTGCAGCAGGGGATCCCACAAATAGCCCCAGTGCCCCCACGCCCCTGCCATAGGCAATAGACACTTCTCCAGTCGGGAGACTGAATTGAAACTCCTGAAGTGTGACCATGAGCAAGCGACTTATCGTCTCTGTGCCAGTGTCTTCAGCTCTAAAACAGGACACATCACAGACTCACCACCCATGGAGCTGTGTGATGATGTATGGCAAGGCTATTAGGAATCCCCTGGACAGTTGCACAGTGTACACACTGCTCAAAAGCACACGGTTAGGTATATCTAACTGTATGTGCGTGTGTGTTTGATCAGTGTGTAAGCCCTGCCCTCCATAGCTGAGGCTGGAATTCCTAGGCCCAGACGAAGTCCAAAGGAAGGGCAGCCTGTTTTGAAGTGCCCACCCAGAGGGGAGTGTCTTTATGTGCCTTTTCACCAGGAGGGGGCGCGTTTTGCCTTTCTTATAAAGGGGCTGGTGAGAGCCTCCCCAGCCGCCGAGGCTGATCACAGCACAGTTAGTCATTTTGAGCATTATTTAAGGATGCAGAGTCCCTTGTCATCGCATGACCAAAGAAAGGAAAGCGTGGTCATTCCTGCCTCAATCTGGGTGGAGGACTGGGGCTGCCTTGTCAGAGCACCTCTGGTCATGAAGGCCGCGGCCCCTGCAGCCTCCCCGGCCCCTGCAGCCACCTGCCCCACCCCACGGCAGGCAGGCGCCTACCCACCTCAGCATCCCCCACTGTCCCCTTCTGACATAAGCTATGCAACTTCTGTCGACCGACAAATTCTGGATGGAAAGGAAATGCTCTGAAAAATCAGAATTTCCATTGCTAACTTGTGTTATGACCTCCCTTTTTTCTATAATCATAATATCAAAAATATTTTGAGCAACAGTTTGCAAATGGATTGTCTTAACTTCAAATTGGCTACCTGGCCCGGCAAAGTATGAGCCACCCCAGGGCAGGAAATTCCTCTGTGTCTGGAGACAAAAGGCAAGCTCCAGGAGAGATAAGACCCCCCCTGAGCATCAAGACTCATGGGGCCCTTCCTTGGTCTTTTTGAGACAAAAAGCAAACCTCTGATAAAACTCCCAGGGCATAAAGACCCATAGACAATTTCCTAACATTATTGACATAGGTTTTGCTTAATGTATAACTATGTGACTTCCTCTTAATTTACCCTTTTCTTAAACAATCACTAACTACTCCCTGCTAGTCTTAATTAACCTTTTCCTAAAACAAACACTAGCTACTCTCTGCTAGCCTTAAGTTAGCCATTAACTTTTCTTTCGACTATCCCTGATGACTCTGCTAACACAATTTATGCCTTCCCTAGGACCCCTAAATCCCTAAATTTCCCAGACCCCTTATCCTTTGGAGTCATAAACATCCGTATACATGAAAATTATCACAAAGATGTATAGACTAGTGTGCCATAAAGTGTCAGGAAGAGGATGCACTGTTCCCCTCTTCCTTTGGAACTTTTATGCTGATTTCTTATTAACTTACCTGATGCATTATTGTAACTAACTACTTGCTAAACAGTATAAATAAAGACCTGCTAAAAAATAGGCAGGAAGACTCGCACTCAACTCCGACTGCCGTGTCTTCCTCACACCTGCTCCCCTTCCCCTTTCTAGGAATCTCCGCTCACCTACGCCGCTCCCACCTGAAGGCCCTGCCCTTGACAGCCCGTGATCGGGGCCGGCCCCCGACACCCTTCCCTCCCGTCCCTCCAGAATGGAGCTCCTCTGGGGGCGTCCAGAAGATACTTGTTCTCACTGCGGTGGGTTTCACTGGTGAAGGGATTTGAGGCAGCCAGTGGGTTTACCAGGAGTCTGCCTGGCCCCACCCCGCTGTCAGGTCGCTGGGTCACTGAGAGCAGGTGCTCCAGGGCCAGGCATCATGAGCCAAGGGAGTCAGCTGGGTGGGTGCGTGGGGGAACTGAAGGGGTCTGAGGGCATGGGAGCACCTGACACTGCGTGAGTGTTGGCCCAGGAGCGTGGTGGTACATTTTTAACTAACGTCATAAATCTGGATTTTCTGTGAGAAGCCCCCATCGACACAGGAGGAGTCACAGTCCGGGCGTGGAGGCCAGTGATGTCAGCAGCAGCCCTCAGCACAGGCACATCCCTCGACCTCGCTCCGTGAGCAGCTAGTGCCCATCTTACATGTGGCCTGCCCCAGGGGTGCCTGCCCGGGGGTCCCCACCCGAAGCACCCTCAGTTTTAGCTCAGCTCTGTTTCTTCATGTCAGTCACCTATGGGCAGAGCAGGACGCTTCACCTGTGGTGCCCGCTGCCCGCCCCAGCTCCCCAGGCCCGGGGGCACCTACCTGGCGGGGGTGGCACAGCCTCCAGGCAGGCGTAGGCACAGCCATTGTAGCAGCAGTGCCGGTGCTGTGAGCACTCCGAGTCGGCCTGGCAGCGCGCAGCCTGGCAAGCGCCAGGAGGCAGCGACCGCGGCGGTGGAGGGCAGTGGTCAGCATGGGACTGCCGGGGGGCGCCCACCTCCTTGGCCTGCAGGAAGACAGCACGTGAGCATGAGCTGGGTGCAGCTGCAGCCAGTGGGTCGGGACTTCTCACCCCTGAGTGCATGCTGGGGACAAACTGCTGGGCCGGCCTAGGCCTCTAGTCCAGTCGTGACTATAGCTGAACAGCCTCAGTGGGTTGCTCGGAAGATCAAAAGATGCTGTTTCTCTTTGTAACAGCCCCCAAATGCGAGGGATGAAAAGCCACCAGAAGCAAAAAGGATCTATGATGCTGGAGGAAAGTCTGATGGTAATGTCGCTCCACAGACTATGTGTGTGCAGGCATGTGTAACAGGCTCCTGAGTGTCATACAAACACACACACACACAGGCATGCCTATCAACATATTTGTTTCTTATCATCCACATGTTTATATAAAGCTTTGGGACGTTACAAGTCTCAAGAAAAAATGGCTAAGTGCGACCGTCCCTGGTGGCACAGCGGGTTAAAGCACAGCACTGAGAAGCTGAAGCCACTTCCGCATGAGTTCGATGCCCGCCTGCCCCGGAGGTGACCACATGGCGTGGCAGACCTCTCCTGACCCGCCCGCTGCTCCCCTCAGCAGTGTACTTCGTCGATCTGCCTGTTCTGCTCCCCACTCTGTCTCTGGTGAATCCTCTCGCCACCTCCTGCATCTCTGGCCTGTACCCCAGTTCTCAATGAATAAGTAAATAAATCTTTAAAAAGAATGGGTAAGTTCACACAACTTGAATAAATCTCACAAATACCGTATGGAACAGACAAGCCAGCTCATGAGGGGACACCCCCTGATGATGTTTGCATTTTTAGTTTGAAAATAACCACAGCTGCTACCTGGAGTGAGAAATCAGGACAGAAGGGGTCACCTGGTGGGCAGCAAGTGGGCAGATCTCAGGGGCTGGCCCTGGTCTGCTTCTGGGCCCAGGGGCTGGCTACACGGTGGTCATTCTGTGGAGGGTCACCTAAAACCTGACCTACTTAGTCCCTCACACAGTTGCCCTGAACATGAGCCCATATTTCCAAATCCTGCCCCGACGTGGTGTCCGCAGCCCTTACCCCTACCCCGGGGCGTTAGCCAAAACACAAAATAAGACCTGACGTGCCGATGCTCTGGGCAGAGCACAGGTGCACTGGCCCGGCAGGAATGCAGGTGCAGGATGGTGTGCCGGGCCCCGGCTCCCCCAAACATGCACATGCACACAACATAACAGGCATGTGCTCGTGGGGGACTCGACTTTGGAAGGGCGCACAAGGGCGCTCAAGAAACATGTACCCACGATTACCTCGGGAGAGAAGTATTTGGTTCTGAAGCCAAGGGAGATTTCTCCTCCTTGTGGTATATATTTCTACAATGGTTAACTTTTTTTTTTAAGCATGCACATATATTTTTTCCATTGAAAGGCCATTAAAAATTGTAAAAACGGGGTGGAGTGGGGAATGGGATAAAAAAAGAGGGGGAGGAGAAGTGCACTGGATTACAGTGATGGCACACGGGTGATTTGGTGATGGGAAGCCCACAGGGATTGCAACTGAGATGGAAAAAGGCACAAAATGATGTAAAATAAAACTATTATACTATTAGTAAAAAATGTAAAAACAGTAGAAGAACTTATGAGGAGTTTTGAAAGACAGGAAACATTTATGATACAGCTGTTAGTTTTTTTTTTTTTTTAAAGATTTATTTGTGCACACAGAACTGGGGGTACAGGCCAGAGGCTCAGGGGCGGAGAGAGGCTACACCAGAGACAGAGTGGGGAGCAGAACAGGCCGATTAATGAAGTACACTGCTGAGGGGAGCAGTGGGCGGGTCAGGAGAGGTCTGCCGCACCATGTGGTCACCTCCAGGGCAGGCGGGAATCGAACTCATGCGGAAGCGGCTTTTAGATTCTCAGTGCTGTGCTTTAACCCGCTGCGCCATCAGGGAGGGCCACAGCTGTTAGTTTTTAAAGTAAAAAGGCAAGATACAAATGGGCCTGTGGGGTGTTGACTCCGTGAGTGAGTCCAGGAGGCTTGAATGTGCCTCCAACGGCGCTGCTCCCAATGGCCTGCAGGGGGCGTCTGCTCGCTTGGGGAGCACGGCCCGGCCAGGCCCATTGCGAGCTGGAATCCCAAACCACCAAGACTGAGGGACTGGCACGTGGAGAAAGCGGACACTAGTGATAACTCCTGGAGAATTCATCATTTCCCCCATATAAAATATAATTATAAATATATCCTTACATATTTATATATAGTGCATACATATTAGATATGTATCTGAAATATGCTTTAATCAGGGAAAAGTAAGTATGAACACAAATCAACATTTGTGTTTGAAATCAGAGCCTTCTTTCCCCCCAAAAAGGTGTGATTAGAACTCCGATTGTCCAACTCCTGTTTCAGCCTTTTCACCAGTCCCTCCTCAGCCCGGTCCCCCACACCCCTAAATTTCTGTGCCTTCATGAATAATTTCCAAGCTGCTAGCAGGGAGCAGAATCTCCTGCCACTTGCTCTCAGTTCATTTTCTTCGGAATTAATGACACTGGCCCCCTGTGGGAACCGCACCATTTTAATCCTGATCCGATGCGACACCTGGCTGGCCTCCATGGAGGGCACCCCTGATTTTCCCACCCAGGCCGTTCTACATCAAGCCTCATTTATGGGCCTTAATGGAATCTAGAGATCGGCAGTGACTCACTTTTCACCCACCTCTGCTGACTTCCCAGTGACACCCCCAGGAGGGGGCATGGAGGGCGGCCAATTTAAATATGATGTTGCTCTGCCAGGAAAATTCAGATGTCATTTCTTAGACTTTGGAGAGAACAAAAGAGGTAAGCACCTTAGAAGTCAAATCTCCCAAGTTATTTACGGGGAGTAGAAATACCAGATGGTCGAGGGTGATAAAGAACTGATTTCGCCCAGGGACCCAGATTAAAGGATTCAATATTTTGAGAAATATTTCATGTCATGCAAAGGGCTGCTCTAAGCAGGCTTAAACACAGGATGCTCCCTGGAGTTTTGAAAGGGAGCTGACCACCCAATGGCTTCCCAGCCTGCCAGATGAGACGGTCAACAGTCAAAGCCTTTGCAGGCCCCTCCATTTCTCTGAACTCATTCCCATCACTCTCTATCTTCCTGATCCTGAAGGGGCACCCCTTACTAATCCTTTGTCCCTGAGCACACAGATGGCACACTGATGAGGACGGCACCCCAAATCCCTGAGAAATGAGACAGACAACACCCTTCATGAAAATCCCAGAGCAGGCCCTCCCAGGTGGGGCAACGCAACACTTCAAGCTAGCCACAACCCTCTCAGTGTGAGTTTGATCCCTGCCCCCAGAGATGACCACATGGTGCGGCAGACCTCTCCTGACCCGCCCGCTGCTCCCCTCAGCAGTGTACTTGGTCAGTCTGCCTAGTCTGCTCCCCACTCTGTCTCTGGTGAATCCTCTCTCCACCCCTACACCTCTGGCCTGTACCTCAGTTCTGAATGCATAAATAAATCTTTTGTTTTAAAAGAAAGAAAGAAAGAAAACCCCAGAGCAACCACTGTGAGCATCTTTTATCTTCTTTCCTGCTCAGGCCTTTGTGGGAAGTCTATTTGCTATAACATACATTCTGGGTACTGACGGGATAGGTCCCGGGTTTGTGTGCCTTCTGTGGAGGAAAGCACTCCCTTGAGGTTTGGCACCTGGTGGCTATTCTGTCTCATTCTTTGGGTAAACACTTTTGGAGGCCACGGTAGATTGACACAGCCTTCTGGTGTGACGTCTCAGAAAAGGGTCAGGGACGGGCCAGTTGTGGGCGCGGGGCCAGTTGTGGGCGCGTGGTGGGAAGCTCACGCCTGTCTGGCCAAGTCAGATCCCGGTGAAGCAGACACCTGGATGCCATCAAGGCAGGCTGACTTGGTAGTAACTGCCCATCGTGCCAATCATCACAGAGGTCTCTGGAGAGGGGATCGAGCTCTGCCACTGGGCCACATGGTAGACACGAATTCACCATATACTGTGGGGTGAAAAGGTACAAAGAAGCACAAAGGAAGCCCCCCACAGTCTGATCCCATTTATATGCATGCCTGGAGTGCCCCCACTGGGGGGGGCTGAAGCCGCTAATGGAGGCGGGGTTGGGGTTGCCTTTCCGGGTGATGAAAATATTCAGGAACTAGACAGAGGTGAGGTGCACACCACATTGCAAGTGATCTATGTGACACTGAATGCCATGCTTTGAAATGATTTTGATACTATGTGACTTTTATCTCAATGCACAAATTTAAATCAGTATGAATAAAATTAAATTAAATAATGTACGCTGTGCTCACTACACCACGGAAGAATGTAGACACACCAAAACGTCAACAGACCTGTGTCTCGGAGGAAGAATTTCCATCCTTTTTACTTATTTATAATTTCTGGACGGTCTGGGTTTCTTTTATAGTAAACATCATTATTTTTATGATCAGGGAGAGAAATTTAAACCATTTCCATTTAAGGAGGAAGAATCCAGTCTCCAATGCTGCTCCAATTTACCTCGTCCCTCCTCGGCGCTCCCCCACCCTTCACTCCCCTGAAGAGCTTTACCCTTTTTTGAAATGTTCCAGAGACTCAACAGCCAGACTAATAAAAAACCGCATCCCAGGACTGGTTGGCTTGGTGCAGGAAGAAAGCCAATTTTCCTCTAAGCATTGCTAGCTCTTCCTCTGGAATGTGAACGTCAAAGTTCTAAAAATATGTCTCTCCCTGGAACACAGGGCTGAGAGTTCAGAATTCCGTTTCCTGATGCCCTGGGACTTCAGCCCTGGCTCTGGCGGCAGAAGTGGGTGCAGTCTAACGGGGTTTCCTCAGAGAGGAAAAAACTCAAAAACTCTGGGATCTCACATCCAGGCAACCCCCCATCACAGAGCACAAACAAGATCCCAAACTCCACCAGCTCCTTCAGCTGTCACCCCCAAGCTCCCTGAAGCCCCAGAGTCTTCTGGAACTTTCGTCCCTGCTAGTCTGTTCTGAAAGGCTCTAGTGTAATTTATTCCTTCTCTGAATAGTAACTCTGCAGCTCAACTCTGAACGGTGACAAATACTCCCCCAAACATCACGCAACTTCAGTGACTGAGTGGCTTTTGGGACCCTCTGCAAATGCAGTTAAAGAAAAACTGAACAAAGCCACACGACAGAACTAAATGCTGTGAAGGAAAAGGCAGGATGTTAGAAGTCGTTTCAGGAAAATCTAGATGGGGGTTCAAGGCTTGCTGAGGGGAGACCTTGAAGCTAATAGGAAGCATGACCTGGAGCACAAGGGAGCACCTCAGGGGGCTGGGGACACCGAGGGGACCACCACCCGTCCCCCCACCTTCACAGAAGTTCCTTGGGTTCCCGGTAGATTCTCTATCGTTGTGGTAACGACATTTGAGGCCACTCGGGCACGGATGACCTCACGGTATGGCAGCAGCACCTCCACCTCCTTCCAAAACGCTGCGTCACCCCAACACAGATCCTGCCCTTGTCCGCTCCTGCCAGCCTGGCCACCACCGGGCCGTTTCCCGTCTCGGGTTGGCCTTTTTGCTAATTTGTTTTGTATTAGCAGCCTGTACAACGTGCCGTGTTCACAGGTTTGGCCGCACTGCAGCGAGGCTCAGGACCCCATGCCTTCTAAGACCCCCGTGTCTGCATTCTGAGCCTCGGGCACTGGGCAGCC